ATTTAAATAATTTCAAATAATTTCTCGTTCTTATCCCAGATCCGTCAAAAAGTATAAAAGCCGAGGAATCGGCGAATAGAGGTTCTCACTTCAGCTTTGATACGAGAAGCACCTCAAAAAGGCTTTATCCGCACTGCCTCGGGATCTTGCAAGCCTCTGCCTTCTCCTGAAGTCATCGCCTAGCCGCGCCTACGCCTCCACCTATTAGTGCCCGCGCTATCTTCGGCCGCTGTGCGTGCTTGTCTCAAGCGCTGCGTGTTCCTGCTCCAGACGCTGCGTGTCTCCGGCGCTCCGGGCGCTGGTTGTGTCTACTCCGGGCGTTGTGTGTGCCTACTTTAAGTGCTGCGTGTACCTGCTCAATACGCTGTGTGTACCTACTCCAGATGCTGCTGGACCTACTCCAGACGCTGCTGGACCTACTCCAGACGCTGCGTATCTACTCCAGGCGGTGTGTGTGTCTACTCCGGGTGTTGTGTGTACTCATTCTGGTCGCTGTGTGTGCCTACTTCAAGCACTGCGTGTACTTAGATTAGGCACTGTGCATGCACCGCACCGCACCGCATAGCCTGTACATACATTGTTTCCGTACTCATTTATCTTTATTAACTTTTATTCTTTTTTAAAAAAAAAATTGTAATTCATTATCATCACTACAGCCCATCATCACCCTCATACCTTTTTTTTATATATAAAAAAAAGCTGTAAATATCTTTACAAATTTTAAATAAATTATTTTCTTTTTGGTTGTTTCGTTGTTAGGTTAGGTTCTATAGTTTTTAATTGTGGCTTTACATTTTATAAAAGAAACTGTAAATATCTTTACAAATTTTAAATAAATTATTTTCTTTTTGGTTGTTTCCATGGCTTACTAGCAATGTGCGCTTTATGATGAAGCTTAGAAATAAAGCTCATAAAGTGTATCTTGCCGATAAATCCGTGTCCAACAGAGAGCACTACAAGTCCTTAAAAACTTTGGTAACATCTGCCTTATTCCATGAAAAAAAAGCTTTCTTCGAACACCATATAAATTGCAAAATAGCATTCCCTAAGCAATTATGGAGGAACCTTAAATACACACTAGTTCCAAGTTTCAAGGACACAGGTGACCTCCCTGCTTTCTTTGACAATCCCTGTACCATCAATTCTTTTTTCTTGGATATCCCTGAGAACAATAAAGAATCAATGTCAGAACTCACATATTATGAGTTTCACAGATATAGTGACACCACTTTCATGCTATCACCAGTGAATAGCGACCTAGTAGCTAGGACAATTTTGGCAATAAAATCTAATGCGCAGGGTATTGATGGTGTGAGTAGAGATATGGTAACCCTATCTCTTCCTCGCACCCTCGATACCATCACTAATATCATTAATAAATCAATCACCAGCTCTACCTTTCCCAGTCAATGGAAAACAGCATTAGTGGGGCCTATCCCAAAGAAAGCCAACCCAAGCAGTGTCAAGGAGTTAAGACCCATTAGCCTCTTGCCTTATCTATCTAAAGTTCTGGAAAAAGTTGTATATAATCAGGTCTATACATATTTGGAAAGACATAATATTCTGCCACAATATCAGTCAGGTTTCCGCAAAGGCCGTAGTACTTGTACAGCACTTGTTGATGTTGTGGACAATATACTAGCTTCTAGAGATCAAGGTAGGGGGACGGTTCTTGTTCTCCTTGACTACTCCAGGGCATTTGACAGTATTAGCATTAACATGCTCCTTTCTAAAATGTCTTATTATGGCTTCGAAAATAGTACAATTAAGTGGTTTCACAGTTACCTCTGTGGCCGACATCAGATTGTTGAGCTGCACAAAACGGATGGTACAGGTACTATTCAGTCACACCCTCTACCTGTTACTAGGGGTGTTCCACAGGGCTCCATATTAGGACCCCTCCTGTTTATTTTATACTGCAGTGATTTGATTCATGTGATTAAAAACTGTAAATATCACATGTATGCTGACGACCTTCAGCTATATCTGTCATTCCATCCTTCAGAGGTTTCCGATAGTATAAATAGGATTAATCAGGACTTGGAGCGCATTGCACAGTGGTCTAAAGTGAACTCGCTTATTCTCAATCCAGCTAAAACAAAATTTATGATATTAGGATCTGGATACCAAATTAAGAAAATAACTGACAGTCAACCCAGAATATTATTGGAAGGAGAAATCATTCAGCAGGTAGAAGAGGCTCGCAATCTTGGCCTTAAAATAGACGGCATGTTGCAATTTGAGAGTTATGTTTTAGATGTGGTGCGTTCTTGTTTTTATAGGTTAAAGGTACTTTACAAGATACGTGATTACCTAAGTTTGAATTTAAGAGTAACCCTTTGTGAGACTCTCATCTTGTCTAAACTAAATTACTGCATTTCGGCCTACGGACCCTGTCTCTTAGCGAAAACAATGAAGCTCCTTCAGCGAGTACAAAATGCATGTGCTCGTTTTTGCTTTAATATCCCTCCGAGAGCACATGTTTCTCCTTATTTGGAAAATAGCAAACTGCTTAACATGTCATCAAGGCTCAAATTGCACTTTGCTACTTTACTATTTGGAGTAATTAAAAACAAAACTCCCGAATATTTATATGAAAAGCTTACCTGGTCCAGTGAACATAACTTTCACTGTACTCGTGGCGCTAAGTTTTTACTTACTGTTCCAGGACACGTCACGGCTGCTTTTCGCGGCAGTTTTCGCTACCTAGCAACAAAGTGTTGGAATAATCTCCCACCCCCCTTTCGTGAAATTCAATCCAAGGTTAATTTCAAAATGCGATATAAATTGTACCTTCTAGATAACAAAGAAAATACAAAGTAACAATACAAAGACTGGTTGTTGATACACTAGGTAGGTGGTTTGCGTTATTATTATTTTACTTTAATTTTTGATGGTTCCCTATGTTCTAAAGAATAAAGTACGTAATGAAATTCAATTTCTATTATATTATAATTGAAATTGAAATAGATGACCGTAGTGACTTATTCTCTTTGTAGATGACATGTACAAGCAGTTGTTGTTGTTGTTTTTGTTATTCGCTCGTGAGAGCAGGCAAAGGAACTATGCCATACAGCCTTGTCTTTGTGTATAATTATCCTTCGTAATTCACTGCTTCAAAACATGTTGATGCGTCACATGGTGCAGCCCTTGGGAGATTCTGATGGCAACTTGAGCCAGCAGGCAGCAGACAATTGGCGATGGTATCCAAAGATGCCTATGCAAACAGCTTATCTTGAGAATCCATCTCCATCAGAGCACTTGTTTCATAGCTTCCACTAATAGTTCACATGCGCAGACACTTAATACACAAAATCGCATATTGGTCAATGATGTACACCATTGTCCAGGAATTAGCTCTATAACATAGTATAAATATTTTTAATTTATTATTATTATTCCTTTCATTATTCTATTATATACTATTGCCAACATAGTTAAAAGTAATATATTTATCTATTTATTTTTCATTATTTATCGTTTTTCAGAATATTATCTTTATATTATATTACATAAACATATACATTTAGAATATCTTTAGTTTTTTTTTTGCATTAAATCTGTCTGACAGCTGCTCGTATGTTTTAGATTAGTGGTCCCGACAGAATAACAGCGCTGCGGCTCTTTGCTGTAGCATAATGCTGAGTCGGGTCCTTTTCGTTGCTGCAATCCAACATAAATTTAAATACTTTTTATAAATACTTTTTACTATTAATTGTTTATTTTTTGTGTTGAGTTAATTGTTTGTTTTTTTTTATGTGTTTGTATTAGCGTAGCAACGAATAAAGTTATTTTCTTTCTTTCTTTCATTGTTAGGATAGGTTCTTTAGTTTTTTAACTGTCGCTTTACGACAAAGCATTTCTAAGATCAACCTTCAGAAGAACATCTGCTTTGGAATTAGTTAAGAAAGTACGCACCGAATGTACCGCCGCCTCACAGCCACCTTTGGTCCCAAAGCCTAGTTGAGTAGGTTGAAATTTTGTCTTAAGGTTTGAGGTTATGTGCCTGCAAGCTAATTTTGAAGTTAAGCGTCGAAATGTAGAACCAACAGCAATAGGACGGATACCGTTATCCTTTTTTTTTTGAAGGCACACAATCTTGCCCCATATAAGTAGGGAATGAACTTGGGATTGACATTACCAGAAAGCATAAAATTGCATAATTTTGTTATGTCATTAAGAAGTACCCTACCGGCGTCACCGGCAGATACGCTTACAAGGTCTTTGAGATGCTGAGGCGTAATCCCGTCAATGCCGCCGGCAGAGCCATTCGAAAATGACAATATTGCATCTAAAGTGTCTTTTTTCGGAAACTTGTAATGGTTGCATAGAAGTATTGGGAGGCAGCGGTAAATTCTGGGAAGGATTGACCGAAGGATGTTTCTGACGAAGGCCTTCAAGAGTTTCGACATTACGAGGAGCGAGGATGTCATCTGAGAATAAAATACGGGATGCATTTTTTAAGTCGCCGTCCGTTAATTTTGATTCAACTACTTTTTTTATATCAAATTTAGGATAATGTCGAGAGAAATGAGTATTAATCGGGTAAAGAATTTTCTTTTAGTTGAGACGTAATTGATTTATTTATTGTTTTACTAAAATCAAAGTGGGAATACGCGAATGTAAATAAAGGTTTTCGCACATTATAACAACTCACCGGCGACTCGACTCTATGCTAGACATTGAAATTTAAGCCCTGTATCATATGTTCAAGGTTCAATTTCAAAAAATGATTATAAAGTAGTGTACAACGAGTGGCCTACGCATCGTACACTAGAGGTCAACCCCGACACGTTTGTCACGCAATGACCATACGTCGTCCACGCAACGACCAAACGTTGTCCACGTAACGACTATGCGTTTGCGACTGACGCGTGACGGGCAACCATTTGCCAGCCCACCCGTCCGCCCCGTGCCTTCCCCCCGCCCGCCATCATTCACTATAGAATCGAAGGACGGAGTGCACGTTGGCGGTACACGGTGATAATTTTTCGAAAATCATGCTGAAAGAAAAGTTGATAGAAGAAGTGCGAAAATATCCGCTACTATACGACCTTCGTGATCCGAAATATAGTGACGTACATAAGAAGGAAAAGGCATGGAATGAAATCGCTATTGTATTGTCACAACCAGGTAAGAATTTTTTTTTTTTGAGTTATTGATTTTGCCATAATCTACAGAAATTCAGCTATCGAACAAATAAATATGTGTGATTCTAATAGATATTAATAATAATGTTAAAACTTACAAGTCATTTCATTAAAGTACATTGTTGAGAAAATTTAATTCAACCTGTTACATCCAAAAAGTAGGTATGTTATTGTACAGTTAACAGTACCTACGATTTTCTACTTGGACACTCGAAAAATCTTGGTTTATCGTAAAAATTAGTTTTTTCACATACAGTAATATAAAATCCCAGAATTTACTGATATAAAATATTAAATCTACGTCATATATATTTTTTTTTAGTTTGGGTTTCTGTATGTTATAATAAAGTGCCTTACGTTTATTTAATATAGGTAATCAGTAATAAAATCCCAGCTTAGTATAGAAACTTGTTTAATATTCTTAATAAGCCAATAATATTATAACCAACTTCTTACGATTATTACATATTAATTATACATGATCTATATTAAATGCTGCCACGGAACTCGTCCTTCGGGAGATTGAAAATAAGTTGCAAACATATCACGAGTTTCAAAAGCAGATGCCGAAGATTCACTTATATCTTCTGGAATTGTACTTAGATTACTTAGTAATCTCTGTTCATCATCATTATTGGCCGAACTCTGCCTTGTGTTGACTTCATCATCGGATGTTATATTATAACACCGCATGACATTGTGTAAAATACACGTCGCAAAGACCACAATATCAACATATTTTGGGTGTAAATGCAAATTCTTATTATAAATTCCAAATTTTTAATATAAGATGCCGAACGCGTTTTCAACTACTCTGCGAGCTCGCGATAAGCGATTATTGTATATTCTTTCCTTTTCTGAAATGCCACTTGAACGTGGATATGGTCGCAATAAATTCCTTTTTAAAGGAAACGCTTCGTCGGCTACAAAAACATGTGGCATTATTATTTCAGTACCAGGTAATGGTGTGTCAGTTGGAATATTAAATGTATTCATTTCAATCGCTCTTCCTAATCTTGACGATGCCAAAATTCCGCCATCACTATTCTTGCCATAGGCCCCTATATCGACAGCTATAAATCTGTATTTATCATCGACGACAGCCATGAGGACGATAGAGAAGTGTTTTTTATAATTAAAAAATAGCGAGCCGCTGCTAGGAGGAGCAATTATGTTTACATGTTTGCCGTCGATGGCACCTATACAGTTTGGAAAATTCCATTTTTTATTGAAACCATCTGCGATTCTTTTCCAGTCTTCGGTAGTAGGTGTGGACATGAACTTCCCCTTCATTGTATTTATAATCGCATTGCACACATCTTTTAATATCGACCGGATGGTACTTTCGCCTAACCGAAAGCTTGAACTCATAGTCCTAAATGAACAGCCACTAATCAAGTACCTGAAACAACCAATTTTTCTTTATATTTATATTATTTTGTTACAGCGTCAGAATGTAAGAAGATATGGCAAAACTTAAGGGAATATCATAGAAGAGCCATTAAAAAGAAAGCAACTAAAAGTGGTCAGAGTGCTAATACTAATAAAAAATGGCAATATGAAACTGAAATGTCTTTTTTTATTACCACATTATAAAGAACGGTCTACAGTGACGTCAGTGGACAACACAGATGATGGTGATGATGAAAATAGCTTATCTGCTGCGGAAATTCTTGCCAATGTGACTAATAATGAAGAATCTCAAGACTCGTCAATTATCTCGGAGCGTCCTGAATCTTCGGTGTCTATGTACGATTCATCTAGATCAGTGTTTCCTGACATTCCAAAAACGACAAAACGAAAGAAATTGCAAGAAACAAGTGCATCGGCGGTTTTAATGGAATATTTATTAAAAAAAAACGATGAAGATGGAAAGCAGAATGACGAAATGGATAAATTTTTTTTAAGTATTTCTAGCACAGTAAAAAAATTATCTACCTATAATCAAGCACTTTTAAAGTCAAGAATTTTTAATTTAGTTTCGGAAGCTGAAATACAAGAACTGCAAAATAATCGAAACTGTTACTATGATGATTTTTTTTGCACCAGGAACTTCTGGCTACACAACTCAAAACCTAAATGCAGGTACTACCGGTAGTAGCACCGCTAGCACCAACAGCAAAATACAACGCCTATGGAAGAATCGAGGGTTGATGGTTCTTCTTAACACAATTAAAGTAAAATTGCTTTGCTTTGATTTATCCTTTAACTTGATATATAAATAAATACATATAAATTATAAAAAAGTTTCTTATTGCTTACCTTAATGTCACTGCCAGCTTTTCTTCCGGTGATACAGCTTCTCTAAATCGCGTGTTTCTTTTGTAGATGTCGTCCTCAATAATATTAAGTATATAATAAAACAAGTATCTCGGCATACGGAAATAGATATAGAATTTTTCTTCGTCATCTAGCAGACGTTTCCGGATATTCCAATATTCCCCTTCTGATTTCCTTTGTCGCAACAAATCATGTACCCAATATCTTCTTTTCCTGCTGTTTCGTTCATTTTCATTATCAAATATAATAGCTATAATCGCCAGTTCACTGAATGTAAAGTTCGACATTTCATAAGCAACACGACTTCTTTGGACAAAATTTAACCGAAAACTGAGGTTAGACGAGTTGTCTGTTGAATAACCCACTCGTTGGCACCGCGTTGGCCACTCCTTGACACCGCGTTGTCCACTAGTGACCATTGGGTGAATCAACTAGTTGACTACTCATCGAGAGTGTGAGTAGAGTTGCTGCCGCGTTGGCGTGGAGTTGTTATAATGTGCGAAGACCTTAATTTTTGCCAACTTTTTTCACAATTTGTTAGACAATTTTGAATAGTTAATGATAATGCTTTAGCAAGTTGCATCCTCGCGCCTCTGGGAATTCTTTTAACCACTGGTACGTTACTATACAAATTGTATAATTGTTTCGAAAAAAGTGAAGAATTTGTGTCAATAGGTATATTATCAGAAGAGTCATGAATTTCTACGGTAGGCTGTGAAGCCGAAATATTTTTACTATGGCATCGTTTAATGTGTATATTTAATCCCTTTTTACCTTTAAACAGCCTACTATTAAGTTATGCCGTGTGTCTAAGAATAATTTCTGTTTCCTCGTAATCTAGAGGTATTAAATAGTTGGTAACTATTTTTTTGCATTCGCGTAGTGTTTTATTATATATGCCTACGATTTTATTTACTTTATTATATAGATAGGCCGAACGACTGTTGAGTTGATTTTTAGCAAAGGCGGTTCTAGTTTTGGTAAGTGGAATAACATTTTTTTTTCTTCTAGCCGTAAAATTGTTTGAGACATAAGGTGTAGTTTTATGTCTTTTTAATATAACGCTGAGAATGTACAGCTTTCTTACAGATAAGACTTTACAAACAGCGTATACAGTGTGCGTTGGAAATCTACGTTTAAAGAGCCTCACTTTTAGTAAAGCACGTTACGCACGTTCCACCTCAATCATTTTTGTTTTAACCGCTCCTCTCCAAATGGAAATGCAATAAGTTAGGATTGATTGCGCAAGTGAGGTGTATATTTCTTTAAAAATATTCCTTCTGGGGCTATGATCAACCCCCACCCCCAGGCCCAGTTTTCTTAATCTGGTAGAGACTAGTTCAATGTGCGAATGCCAAGAGAGCCGCTGGTCTATCACAACCCCCAGGTATTTTGTTTTATCATTTCTGTCTATAGCCGGACAATCACAATTAGTGGGTTCAGTATCAGGATTGCAAGAGTGAATTAATAAATTGAAGTTAGTGTCAGGTTGTGAATGATTTTGAATACTGTAACAGATGTAATTAGTTTTGGCTGTATTCAGGGTCAACAGATTATTTTTTAACCAGTTGTTAATCAAGTGCAGGCCAGATTCAGCATTATTCTTCACATCAGCCCAGTTTTTCCCGGAAAAAACGACTGCTGTATCATCGGCGTAGAAAAAGATGCGCGCATGGTCAATTTTTAGATTACAGAGGTCATTAATATACATAAGAAAAAGCGTTGGTCCTAACACACTTTCCTTTGGTACACCATAAGATACAGCAACGTCTTCACTGATGTAATGACCCAATTTCACTCTTTGCATTCTACCAGAGAGGTAACTCTTAAAGAGAGATAGCGCAACATCTCTGATACCTAATTGTTCTAGATTTTGGACAAGAATAGGGATAAAAACAGTATCAAACGCTTTCCTGAGGTCCAAAAAAACGGTCAGACACTCGATCCCTTTATCCATCGTCTCAGTAACTAGTTTGCTAAGTGCAGCTATTGCATCTTCAGTTGATCTGCCCTGTCTGAAGCCAAACTGTGACGTCCATAGAAGCCGAAATTTTTCTAAGTAATTTAATAATCTAGAATTCAAAAGTCTCTCAAGTATCTTCGAAATAGCTGACAGCACCGAAATTGACCTATAATTACCCACATCATCCCTGTCCCCACTCTTGTATACAGGAGTGACTACTGACTTTTTTAGCGGGGCTGGAAAAACGCCCTTCTCAAAACATAAGTTAGCTAAGTGAGTAACTATAGGTACAATTTCGTTTTTTGCAAGTTTTAAGAACGTGATGGGAATTTTGTCCCAACCAGGAGCGCCATCTGATCTCAAGTTCATGAGTGTTCTTTCGACTTCTTTCACATCAGTTTGTAGCAAGACAAAGGAGTTGCATGTAGCAACAGCATTTCTAGTTCCGAGAATTAGATTAGAATTACCACTAGGATTAATATTTTCGGCAAGATGCTCTCCTATTTTCGCAAAGTAATTGTTAATAAAATTTGCAGATTCAGTTGGATAATTTTTTAGTTTGAATAACACCTCACTTTCGTCGTGTGATTTATTTTTAAGGGTAATGGTTTTTATATTTTTCCACAGCAGTCTATTATTACTAACTGATTTAGTAAGCAAGTCCCTTTCGTATTTCCTTTTAAATTTTTAATAAGCTTATTACAGAAGATATTCTGACTTCTGTGTTCGTCCATCGTACCGTCGTCCGTCTTGTAGAATCACGGTGGCGCCACTTAGCTGAATTCAATTTTGCAACATATTCGATTTTCCCACGGGAATGATATTTTTTCCACTGAAAAAAGTAGCCTATGTCACTCTACAGCCACCAAACTATCCCCATACAAAAAATCATGCCATGCCGACGCTCTGTTGCGACGTGAAAGAAGGACAAACTTGTGAAACATATTCGATTTTCCCACGGGAATGAGATGTTTTTCCGCGGAAAAAAGTAGCCTATGTCACTCTACAGCCACCGAACTATCCCCATACCAAAATTCATGCCATGCCAACGTTCTGTTGCGACGTGGAAGAAAGACAAACTTTTGCAACATATTCTATTTTCCCACGGGAATGAGATGTTTTTCCGCGGAAAAAGTAACCTATGTCACTCTACATCCACCGAACTATATCCATAATAAAAATCATGCCATGCCGACGCTCTGTTGCGACGTGAAAGAAGGACAAACAAACAAACAAACACACTTTCGCATTTATAATATTAGTATGGATGGTAACACTTAGTCAACGGTTAATCATATTTAATAAACAAAAACAATTTAGACATCCTTTTTTATTCAAATTATAATATTTTAAAAAACTTTTACATATTAATATTTGAAAATGCCCCATTAATTTCAAAGTTAGATCACAAATCAGTTTATAATTTTTTTCTATTTATATGATTCCAGAAATATCTAAATTTGAGATTGTTTTACAGTGGTTTACTGTTGTAATTTACCACTGTAAGGGATAAGTGTTAAACTGAAAATGAAAATAGGGATCCGCAACAGTATCGAGTACCTGAGTAGTATCGATACTTTTAGTTCGATATCTAGTATTTTTGTACTCGATACTTTTATTAGAGTATTTTACTAAGTATCGATCCTTTCTTAGTTACTCGATACTTTTATCTCTTTACTGACTGTCAGACAAAAGTCAGTAGGTAGTACTTCCTTTTCCGTTATATAACGTCGTTATTCTCGTTGGAGTTAGGATACAATAAATATGTTTTATATTTTAATAGCTCGAAATTTTGATGAATGAATATTATATATAATGGAATGATAACGCAAAATGTTTGGATTTAAATGTTTAATTTGTGTATGTGAGTTGTTTAAGTAACGTCTACCTATGAGTCATAAATAATTAGAGTAGAAGACTATTTTTTGTTAAGAAATGTATCATTTTTTATTATTTAATGGCAATATTGACTGATTGGTATTCGTCGTTGAAACGAAAAAAGTTTATAAAAGTGAATTTTATTGTTTTTAACTGCTGACTCCGGTGCTCTGCTTGATTTGCTTCTTCAGAATGCCACCTCCTGGCGGAGGACAATGTGATGTGTGGAAATATTTTAGGAAAGTTGAAATTAAGCGAAATGTAAAATAAGATTTAAAATTATGAAGTCTTGCAGTAAAACTTAAAAAGGAAGTTAGCAAAATTAAACAAATTGATAAGATCAATTAGGTGTGTTCTGACGAAAATAAATACCCTGTGAAAATAGTATGATAGATCCAAATAAAATAATATGTTTGATTGGAAGTTATGATAAACTATTGGGTTTTTGAAACAGCAATTCAGGAAACTTACGGATTGAAAAATAATAATAATGGATTCATTGGATTTTGATCTGGTACATTAACGACAAATCGGATTGTATAAGTATTCCCAATTAATTATGATCCAGAATTGCGAATTTACCATTAGAGTAAATGGGATTGTAACAGTATACTGGTGAACAGTGTGGTTAATGTAGTGCAGCACTGCTATACCTATATGTACGCCGATGACATGTGCTTATTGTATGCTTCCAAAAACTTACATGAAGCTTGCGATAAAATACAGGAAGACTTTGATCGTATTACCCAATGGGCATATGATAACGGCATAATACTGAATTAAAAAAACAAGGTGTATGCATTTACATTCTCCATACAACAGGCTAGCTAAGAATGTACGCTATGAAGAAATAGGTATTGTAGGGCATGACTATGAGTCAAGCACTCACAGGCGAAAATTATCATGTATAAGTGTCATGTGCCAAAATAGAATTTGTTAATAGTTACAAATATTTAGGATTGTTGGTAGATAGTAGT